GCTCTCAGCTCGGGCCAGAGGCGCTATCGGAGGAGGGCTCGAGGAGTGGATGGGAGGGCTGAAAGGTCTGGACTGGAGAGAAACAAAAAAAAAAAAAAAAAAAAAAAAAAGACACAAAGTTAAAGAAAATCACAGAAATATTCGCATTAAATAAATAACATTTTGTCCGGACTGGAGAGAAACAAAAACAAAAAATGACACAAAGAAAATCACAGGAATATTCGCATCAAATAAATAAAATTTTGTCGGGACGGGACATCTCCAGGCTGGCAGGGCAGAGGTGGGCACAGCTCTTCCCACGGGGGACAAATCCCGGGAAATCCCAACCCCTCCTGCTGAGCTCGGGTCACTTGTGCAGCTCCATTGTCCCATTCCGGGCTGGCAGTGCCACCCTCAACTCCCTGGCATGTCCCTCTGTCCCATTCCAATGTCACTCTCCACTCCTGGGACACTCCATTGTCCCATTCCGGGCTGGCAGTGCCACCCTCAACTCCCTGGCATGTCCCTCTGTCCCATTCCAATGTCACTCTCCACTCCTGGGACATCCTCTTGTCCCATTCCAATGCCACCCCCACCCCCTGGCACATCCCCCTGTCCCATTCCGGGCTGGCAGTGCCACCCTCAACTCCCTGGCACGTCCCCCTGTCCCATTCCAATGTCACCCTCCACTTCCTGGCACATCTCTTTATCCCATTCCAGACTGGCAGTGCCACCCTCCAGCCCTGGGATATCTCTCTGTCCCATTCCAGGTTGGCAGTGCCACCCTCAACTCCCTGGCACATCCCTCTGTCACATTCCAATGCCACCCCTCACCCCTGGCACATCTCTCTGTCCCGTTCCAATGTCACCCTCCACTCCTGGGACATCCCTCTGTCACATTCCAATGTCACCCCCACCCCCTGGCACATCCCCCTGTCCCATTCCGGGCTGGCAGTGCCACCCTCAACTCCCTGGCATGTCCCTCTGTCCCATTCCAATGTCACCCCCACCCCATGGCACATCTCCCTGTCCCATGCTAATGTCACCCTCCACTCCTGGGACATCCCCTGTCCCATTCCAGACTGGCAATGTCACTCTCCACCCCCTGGCACGTCCCCCTGTCCCATTCCAATGTCACCATCCACTCCCTAGCACATCTCTTTATCCCATTCCAGACTGGCAGTGCCACCCCCCAGCCCTGGGATATCTCTCTGTCCCATTCCAATGCCACCCCCCACCCCTGGCACGTCCCCCTGTCCCATTCCAATGTCACCCCTGGCCCGTCCCCCTGTCCCATTCCAGACTGGCAGTGCCACCCTCCACTCCCTGGCACGTCCCCCTGTCCCATTCCAATGTCACCCCCACCCCTGGCCCGTCCCCCTGTCCCATTCCAATGTCACCCCCACCCCTGGCCCGTCCCTGCCGTGCCCCCAGCCCCTGCCCACGTACCACGTCACTGACTGGGGGTTTGCCAGGGGGCAGCTTGGGCCGGGACGGGGGTCGGGGGGGCGGTGGCGGGGGGGTGCCACACGTGGCCAGCGGCGTTCCGGGGCGAGCTGGGGACGAGGAACCTGCAACAAACGGGAGCCGTGAGTGCCCTGCGGGCTGTGCCCACACTGCTGCCCACCCCAGAGCCCCAGGAGATCACGGCACGGCCCAGCAGAGGGGCACGGAACCTTCCAGAATGGCTGATGCCCGTGGATGCCTGGCAGGGGCTGCTCAACCCCTGGTAAAATCGTTACTGGAGGAGTCTTACAGCATTCCCAAAAAATATGGGCAGGAGGAAGGGGGTGATGGATGAAGCACTGCTCCAAGGGTGGCACAACTGGGAATTAGGGACCCTCATCACTCGGGCCAGCAAAGAAGGGAAAAGTGGAAGAGGGAAGTTCTGGGATTTGCAGGCAGCTGCCAACATCTGGAAGAGTCTCCCAGCGAAGGGTGCTGATGGCAGGGCTCACAGGGACCCTGCTGCAAAGGGAATTTCTGGTGAATTGGGAATTTCAGCACGGGACATCCAGGAGCCTGGAGCTCCACACACACAAGGAATTCCTTGCAGGAGAAATGCAGCAATACCTGGAGCTGTACAGAGAGGACACAGGTGACACCAGGACACACCAGGAAGGGCAGGGAGGAACTCAGATCTCACTCCCAGGAGAGCTGAGCCAGGGTTTGAACTTCCATGGAAGCACAACAGCTCCGTGCTTGGCTCAGACTGATCACATGATGACTTCATAATTCCCACTTGCAAGAGAATAATTTCCTAAGGTTTTTTTGGGTGATATCTCAGATTAAACAAAGATCAAAGCTGGGTTTATAGGAACAAGAAGAGGTGAGGGAGAGCAGGCTCAGACAAGACAGGGCCTGGCTTCAAGGGAGTAAATTCCAGTCATTCCTTTGCCAAAACTCCAAAATTCAAACCATTAATTTGGGAACCAGAGTTGGAATTTTTTTCCTTCCTTATCCCACTAAAATAGGAAGCTTTGAGGGAAAATGACCTTGCAGGACTGAGTGTCACAGGATGGAGGGTTCTGTGGCCACCAGGTAGCCAAAGCCTGGCAGATGGTGGCTTCCATCCAGGGAATGGATATTTCCTACCCCAGGAGCTGGCAGCACGTGGGATTCCAGCATGGAATCAGAAATCTGCTGGAATTCTGGGCCTGGAGAAACCTGGGCTGGTGGAAGGGGGTTGGAACAAGAAGAGTTTGGAGATCCCTTCCAAGCCAAGTCTTCCACCAGGTCCCCAGCCCTGCCTTGGTGACAGGAGGAGATCCTGGGGTGGCTCTGCTCCACAGCACCCAAAAAACGATCCTTGGAGAGGTGGGAGGAGTGGGAGAGCTGCTGGATCTGGTGCAGCTTTTGGAGGATTTGCACCATTTTTGTGTGGCTGGGCTCACACTTGGATTCTCCAGCTCGCTGCAGCAGTCCTGGCTGAGACAGGAGCAATTCCTGGAGAAGGGATGTGGATCTCCTGGGACAGGCTGAGCAGGGCTTCATCATCCATCCATCATCATCCATCATCCATCCATCCATCCATCCATCCATCCATCCATCCATCCATCCATCCATCCATCCTCCATCCCCACCTGGGGAGCCCCTGGCCCATCTCCATCCTGGGAAGGAGCAGTGCAGGAGGAATTCTGGTGCTTCCTGCTCCTGGAGAATTCCCAGCTCCAGCTGGACCCTGCAGCCCCCACAGGGACCCCCTCCCACCCCCCGAGCCAGCACAGAAAAGCCACCAGCACTGAAGCAAAGCCACACTCGCAGCACCAGCCACACTCGGGGAGGTGACAAATCCCCCGGGCAGTGACACCAATTCCAAACTGGAATATGGAACTGGAACCTGCACACCCACCCCAGCACCAGTGCGGGTTCCTCGAGGCTCTGGGGGGGTGATCCCCTCCAAAATCAGCCCTGGTGGATGCGGGATGGGAGCACAAGGGACAGACCCTGCGAGAACAGGCGCGGGCTGCAGCTCCTCAAGCACGGAGCGTGAGTAACCTGAGCCTCCCCCAGCTCGTTTGGCCTAATGAACATTCATAATTAAGCAGGTGAAGAGGCAGGCAGAGCCAGCAGCTTCTCCCGTGGGAGAAATTCACTCTGGAACACATCTCCCCATCCATCCCCAGCTGAGCATCCACACCCAGAGCCGGGAAGAACCGAGCACCGTTCACACCCGTGAACTACCGGGGTGATTAAAAAATAAACAAAAAATAAACACATTAAAAAAAAAACAAAAAAAAAACCAACAAAAACCCCTGAACCCGAGGCTCGCTCTGACGATTCTGCCACATTTCTACCCCCACAGACGACACAACCGCACCAACACCAACACCACCACACGCAAACTCCCTGCATCCCGATTTCGGGATGCGAAGCGCGGCTCCGGGAGAAGCTTTGCCAAGGACACGGGAAGCTCAGGACAGCACAGCACGGGCTGGGTGGGACACAGCCAGGCGGGAGGGTCACCACGGCCACACCGAAGCGCAGCCGGGCTCACAGCACGTACCGCTGGTGCTTCCCGTGCTGGCGCCCGGTCCGGGCGACGACACCACGGCGCGGTAGGTGGGCGGCGGAGGGGGCGGCGGGGTTGCTCTTTGACCCGGCCCAAAATCTTTGGGAGAGGCGACGGGTTCGACGGAATCATCCTTAAGGTGGGGAGGATGCTCGGGAAGCTTCTTGGGAGCGTCTTCCAGCTGCAGCGGCGAGGGCAGCGGGCGGGGATGCTCGCCTGGGCTACCGGCGGCCGCCGCTGGCGACGCCGCCTTTTCCCGGGGTGACAATTCCGCAGGAGGAGCGTTTTCCGGGGATTGATCGGAAAAATTGACCCACTTGTCTTCCGCCGTGGCAGCAGCAGATTTAGGGGACGGCACGGGGCCAAAAATGCTGTCCAAGTCATTGATGGACGGGAGTTTGTCCCGTTTGGGCTCTGCTGCTGCCTGGTCCCCTCCTGTGGTCAGAGGAGGTTTATTTTACACCCAGCATTAACTCGCTACGGGCTCTACTTCTACGGGAGAGGCTCTAAAAAAAATCACCTTTTCTCATTTCTATTTATATAATTCATGGGCAAGAAGGTTTCCACCATAGCCAGGTGTGACATGGGATGAATCCCGCGGGATCCAAAGGCTGGAGGAAGGAGCATGCACCACGAGCCGGCACTCACAGCCAGGAATCCCAAATTCCCCCCAAATTCCACAGCCTCCTTTTGTCCTCTAAACCGCACCACGTCCTTACCAGCAGCTCTGAATTTTCAAATTATTATTATTAGCAGCTCTCAAAGGTGTGCACTCAGCACTCTGGCACACCCCACTCTCTCTATATATATTTATAAACACTCAGGTATAAATATATATATTAAATATATATATTTATCTATTTAGACATGCTGGTTGGACACTGCTGGAGGCTGGGCATGCGGCACAGATGCACATGGGGGGTGTAGTCCAGCCACGGGCAATGGATTCCAGCCACAAGCAAGAACAGATCGGGATTTTGGGGGCACAGATCGGGATTTGGGGGGTACACATTGGGATTTCGGGAGGAGCACAGATCGGGATTTGGAGGGGTACACCTTGGGATTTTGGGAGGGCACACAGATCGGGATTTTGGGAGGGCACACTGATCAGGATTTTGGGAGGGGACACAGATCAGGATTTGGGAGAACAGATCGGGATTTTGGGGGACACATCGCGATTTGTGGGGTACACAGATCGGGATTTTGGGAGGGCACACAGATCGGGATTTGGAGGGGACACATTGGGATTTTAGGGGGGCACAGATCAGGATTTTTGGGGGGCTCTGCTCACTGAGCCACCACACACCAACATTCCCAGCTGACTCCAGCACCACCACAGCTCCATCAGCCAAGCATTTCACATCCAGGGAAGGGAGATCCTAACACTCAAATGCCCTCTGGGATCCTCGGGGCAGCATCACCCCATCCCTGCTCCTCTGCTTTGGGGATCCATCCATGGCTCTACATTTAGGGTGAACATTTAGGATGAACATTGAGGATAAAAGAGGAATTTGCTAAACCGGACAAGAACAGACCTCAGCCACTTGCTTGACAGATACACAAGGCACGGCCCAGCAAATGATCCAGCATTTGCTCCTGGGAATGGATGGAGGATGGACACGGACACTCTGCCAGCCCGGCTGCTCCCAGGAGCAGGAAATTCGGGATGTGGGAGCACAGATGAGATGGTGATGGACAGAGCAGGGGAGCTCTTGGTGGCCGAGGTGTTCCACCCCTCTCCAAAGTCGCTCCTTCCCTGCTCCAATCCTGCTTTTCCATCAGCCAGCACCATGAATTATATACCTGGGAGCACCTCATGTCCTCTGGCTGCATCCAACATTTTTCCATCCCTGCCCTCGGGTTCTCCTTCATTCCCAGCACCATTTTCCTTCCCTTCCCTGGCTGCAGTACCAGGGGGGCTTTTCTCACCTTCCAGCAGGAATTTGGGGGACAGGGAATGCAGGAGCAGCTCCCTGCCACAGGCAGACCCTGCCCTCTCTGTTATTCCTCAGCCCAGGGCTGCTCCAGGCAGGAGCAGGGCTCTGGGATTTGGGGAATTTATCCCAGTTTCCAGCAGGATTTTAATCCTGCCCTGCATTCCCGGAGTGACTGATCCAAAGGCAGGGATGGTGTAAAGAACATGAATTTCACCGGGGTGACACCGACTTGGGAGACAAAAATATTTGTGCAGCATCCACTGAAACACCCCAAAGGCTGTCCCTGGATCCCCGGGAGTGTCCCAGGCCAGGCTGGACAGGGCCTGGGGGACCCTGGGACACTGGGAGGTGTCCCTGCCCATGGCACAGGGAACTGGATGGAAATTCCAGCCTGGAATTCTCTGAATTCCAAGGGAGGAGGAAGCACAGGGACCAAATCTGTGCCACGGGGACCTGTCCCCCCATCCCCCAGTGCCATCCCACGGCTGGGGATGGGACCTGACCCCTCCAGAACTGGGGATGGGACCTGTCCCTCCTGTCCTTCCCAGGGACGGGACCTGAACCCGCCAGTGCCACCCCAGGACTAGGGATGGGATCTGTCCCCTCCCAGTGCCACCCCAGAATTGGGGATGGGACCTGGCCATCCCCAGTGTCACCCCAGAGCAGGGGAATGGGACCTGTCCCTCCCAGGGATGGGGATGGAACCTGTCCCCCCCCGATGCCATCCCAGAACTGGGGCTGGGACCTGTCCCCTTCCAGTGCCACCCCAAAACTGGGGATGAGACCCGGCCATTCCCAGTGCCACCCCAGAACTGGGGCTGGGACCTGTCCCCGCTGTCCCTCCCAGGGATGGCACCTGTCCCTCTCAGTGCCATCCCAGGGCTGGGGATGGCTCCTGTCCCCCCGGTGCCATTCCAGAACTGGGGATGGGACCTGAATCCCCCAGTGCCACCCCAAATCTGGGGCTGGCACCTGTCCCTCCTGTCCCTCCCAGGGATGGCACCTGTCCCCCCAGCCCGGTGTCCCCCAGGGCCGTGCCCGCGCCGTTACCGATGGCCAGGGGCAGGGGCGAGCCGGTGCGCGGCGGAGTGGCCGGGATGTTCTTCGGGGGGAGCGGCGGAGGGGCTGGAACAGAGCACAGAGGGGAGGGAAAAATCAGCGGGACAGAGCCGGGAACACCGGGCAGGAGCCGCGGGATAAGGCAGGGACGGGCTCCGAGCCCCATGGACACTTCCAGGGATGGAGCAGCTTCCCTGGGAATTCCATCCCAATCCCGTCCCATCCAGAAATTAATTCCCGATGTCCCATCCATCCATCCATCCCTCCGCTCTGCATTTTTGTTTGGTTTTTTTTGGAATTTCCCACTGTTTTTTTTTTTTTTAATTTATTTTCTTACATCTCCTGTTTCAACCCCCAATCCCATCCTAAGGAGAAATTAATTCCCAATATCCCATCCATTTCTCCCATCTGCATTTTTGTTGAGGCTTTTTTGGAATTTCCTATTTTTTATTTATTTTTTTTTTTACGTCTCCTGTTTCAACCCTCTATCCCATCCCAATCCCATCCCAATCAGAAATTAATTCCCAATATCCCATCCATCCATCCCCTCTGCATTTCTGTTGGATATTTTTGGCATTTCCTACTCTTTTTTCTTTTTTATTTTACATCTCCTGTTTCAACCCCCAATCCCATCCCAAGGAGAAATTAAATTCCCAATATCCCATCCATCCCTCCACTCTGCATTTTTGTCGGGATTTTTTGGAATTTCCCACTCTTCTTTTTTTTCTCTTTTTTTTTTTACATCTCCTGTTTCAACCCCCAATCCCATCCCAAGGAGAAATTAATTCCCAATATCCCATCCATTTCTCCCATCTGCATTTCTGCCTTTTTTTTTTTTTTNAACCCCCTAAATTAGCATTTTAATTAAACCTGACCTCTCCGAGCTGCCTCCACCTTTTTCCCGTGCCCATCCCGCGTGGATCCGGGATGGGGAATTCTGGGGCCTAATTAACAGCTGCTAATTAACCAGTAGGGGACATTTCTACCAAACAAAAAAAACAAACAAAAAAAAAGAAAAACAAAACCAAAACAAAACAAAAAAACACCCAACCCTCTTTAATTTAAGATATCATCTAGAATATATTGTATATAATAATATTATAAAGGATATTATTTTAATTCTAGAATTTCAAATATATAGAGAGAATTTCAAATAGAGAGAATTTTAAAATATAGAGAATTTTAAAATATAGAGAGAATTTAAAATATAGAGAATTTCAAATATAGAGAGAATTTCAAATATAGAGAGAGTTTAAAATATAGAGAATTTTAAAAATATAGAGAATTTCAAATAAATAGAGAGAATTTCAAATAAATATAGAGAATTTCAAATAAATATAGAGAATTTCAAATAAATATAGAGAATTTCAAATATAGAGAATTTTAAATATAGAGAATTTCAAAAATATAAAGAATTTCAAATAAATATAGAGAGAATTTCAAATAAATATAGAGCATTTCAAATAAATATAGAGCATTTCAAATATAGAGAATTTCAAATAAATATAGAGAATTTCAAATAAATAGAGAGAATTTCATTTAAAATTCTAGAATCGCACAGCCTGGATGAGGGAAAACTCAAAAACCTTTGAGCTGATCTCTGGATATATCAAATTTCTTTTGATGCTCACTTACTTCCAGTTGGAAAAGGTCTTGGAAGTTTTGGGGACTCGATGTTTGTGTTGATGGGCTGGACCGACCCCCATATCTCAGGCTGGTCCAGAGCAGCTGAAAAAAATAAAATAAAATAAAATAAAATTAAAAAAAATCAAAAAATAAAAGTTTGAAAGCAATGAAAAACCCAAATATTTTCTTCTGATCGCCCAAACACACGGAGGAGACACAGAGACCCTGGGAAAAAAGAGCCCAGACAGTGACAGAAACATCATTAATTAACGACAGGGACGGTGGGTAATTAAAATCCGGTCGGATTTTGAAGCAGGACGTGCAATTAAAGTGACATTTATGGCGCTTGACAAATAAAACAATGCCAGGGTTGGATTTGGAGAAATCAAATTGCGGGAAGGAAAACATCGCGTTGATGGCAAAAAGTGGTCCGGGATTTTAGGATATTAAAAAAAAAAAAAAAAAATCAGGTAGGAAAATTAAAAGATAATTCTATTTCCAGGGAATAAAATGGGAGGAAATGAGATATTTTTATATATAATTTAGATTTTTTGGGGGGGTTTTCTGTGCGGAGAACTGCTTACAAGCATTGCTTTGAGTGAAATAATTAACTGGAGGCGTTAATGAGAGGACGTAATGAGGCAGCGGCCACTCCCTGAGGTCCCAGGGGGAGGAAAAGATCCCTGGGAAGAACCCGCGCCAGGACATGAATGGGGTTGGATTTGGGGAAAACAAATCCTGCAAGGTCCCCGAGCTTTGGGAAAATCAGGTTTGGAAGGAAGCAAAATGTCTCTGGGTTAGAGGAGAAGGGGGGGAAAAAAAAAGGAAAAAAAAAGGGAAAAAAGGGGAAAAAAAGGAAAAAAAAAAAGGAAAAAGAAAGGGAAAAAAAAGGGGAAAAAAGGAGGAAAAAAAAAGGGAAAAAAAGGGGAAAATTTTGAGTTTTGAGGTGGCATTTCCCGGGAATGGAGGGGTGCAAGGTTTGTCCAAGAGCTCGAGAATCCTGGGTGGAATTAACCCTCAGTGCTCCAGGGTGATGGCTTGGTGGAAAATCCTGAGTTTGGATAATTCTGGAGCTGGTCCCTGTCAGGATCTCTCCCAGACCTCATCATTAATTAATTGACTAATTGACTAATTGCTCTGTTTCCAGCCAGCCCAAATTAACCCCAGCCCTTCAAGCCCTGTCTCCTGCAGCAGGAGGGCTGGGAATGTCCCGGGAATTCCCTGGGAATTCGGGAATTGTGCAGCTGGGAAAAACCCTCAGAGCCCACGAACCCACCCTGACCCTGTCCCCAAAGCCACCCTGTCCCCAAGGCCACCCTGACCCTGTCCCCAAGGCCACAGCGCTCTGAAATCCCTCCAGGAATGGGGACTGCACCCGTGCCAGGGCTGGAGACCCTTCCCATGTCCCTGCCAGAGACCCACAGTGACCCAAAATCACCGCGGCCCCAAAATCACCGCGGCCCCAAAATCCACTCACCAGGTCCCCAAATTCATTTGCCACAGCCCCAAATCACCGTGACCCCAAATTCACTCGCCAGGTCCCCAAAGTCACGGTGTCACCAAACTCACCAGGTCCCCAAATTCACCCACCCTGTCCCCAAACTCCCTCGCCCAGGTCCCCAAACTTACCCTGGCCCCAAATTCACCCACTCTGTCCCCAAACTCCTTTACCCCAGCCCTAAATTCACCAGGTCCCCAAACTCTCTCATCTATGGCCCCAAACTCATCTTGTCACCAAACTCACCCACCCAGGTCCCCAAATTCACCCACCCTGTCCCCAAACTCCTTCACCCCAGCCCCAAACTCACCAGGTCCCCAAACTCCTTTGCCCAGGTCCCCAAACTTACCCTGGCCCTAAATTCACCCACCCAGCTCCCCAAACTCCTTCACTCCGACCCCAAACTCACCAGGTCCCCAAAATCACCAACCCTGGCCCCAAACTCCCCACACCCCAAACTCCCCTCCCTACACCCCAAACCCCAAACTCCCCCTCCCCACACCCCAAATTCCCCACCCCACACCCCACACTCACCCTCCAGTTTCTGCTCCTCAAACGCCGATTCCAGGGGGGGCCCGAAGAGCGGGGCCAGCGCTGCCGGGTCCTCCCCGGCTCTCCTGCTGCGGGGTGAGAGGGGCACAGCGAGCATTGAGGGCCGGGTTTGTGCTCCCAGCCCCTCCTTGAAGCAAACCCGAAATATTTTCCAGGAGTTTTTTTTTCATCCCTGATCGAGGAGGAGCCGGGCAAACTCGGGATTCCAGGTGGGAAAAAGGGAAAGGAGAGAGGCAACACCGCGGTGCCAAAATTTGTGGTGCCACAGCAGCTTTAGGATTAGTCAGAATTTGATGGAAATGGATTAAAATAATAAATATTTGGGATCTCGACAATGCTCTGGTCTGACACACCAAATCCCGGAGCTGCGCGGGGCACATTCCCATTGAAATTTGATTTTATTCCATTTATTCCATAAAAACTCGCATGTTTGCTGTCCTAAATCAAACCACCCAAGGTGGTTTCCAGCAGGGAATGTCCTTGCAGCTCTTGGTGGAGGACGGGGACGGACTCTGAGCACCCCAACCACCCCCAGCCCCTCCGGGCTGCCAAAATCCCCGAATGGTTTTGGTTGGAAAAAATCTTAAACCTCGCCCAGTGGCACCGTGCCATGGCAGGGACACCTCCCGCTGTCCCGGGGTGTCCCCCGAACCTCGGACAATCCCCCCCAGGGCTCTGCACTCACCTGGCGGGGTCTGGGGTGGGCGTGGAGCGCCGGGGCCTCGTGATCTCCTCACCTGGGACACAGAGACACGGGTCAGAGTCACCGTCACCCCAAAACTCAGACCCAGATCAGTCATTGTCACCCCAAAACTCAGACACGGGTCAGAGTCATTGTCACCCCAAAACTCAGACCGGGATCAGTCACTGTCACCCCAAAACCCAGATCGGGATCAGTGCCACTGTCACCCCAAAACATCCCCATGGGACACAGAGACACGGGTCAGAGTCATTGTCACCCCAAAACCCAGACCCGGGTCAGTCACTGTCACCCCAAAACATCCCCCGGGACACAGAGACACGGGTCAGAGTCATTGTCACCCCAAAACTCAGACACGGGTCAGAGTCATTGTCACCCCAAAACTCAGCCCTGGATCAGTCACTGTCACCCCAAAACCCAGATCGGGATCAGTGCCACTGTCACCCCAAAACATCCCCACGGGACACAGAGACACGGGTCAGAGTCATTGTCACCCCAAAACTCAGACACGGGTCAGAGTCATTGTCACCCCAAAACACAGCCCTGGATCAGTCATTGTCACCCCAAAATTCAGATCCGGATCAGAGTCACTGTCACCCCAAAACTCAGACCCAGATCAGCCATTGTCACCCCAAAACTCAGACCCGGATCAGCCATTGTCACCCCAAAACTCAGCCCTGGATCAGTCATTGTCACCCCAAAATTCAGATCCGGATCAGAGTCACCGTCACCCCAAAACTCAGACCCGGATCAGTGTCATTGTCACCCCAAAACTCAGCCCTGGATCAGCCACTGTCACCCCAAAACTCAGCCCTGAATCAGTCACGGTCACCCCAAAACTCAGCCCTGAATCAGTCACTGTCACCCCAAAACCCAGACCCCGATCAGAGTCACCGTCACCCCAAAACCCAGACCCGGATCAGCCATTCCCACCCCAAATCCTCCCCCAGTCACGGGGTCTCTCCTGCTGTCCCACCCACCCTTCTGGGCAGATCTTGGCAGAAAATAATAAAAAAAAAATCTTCGTTTTTATTCTGATTTATTTCTGTACAGAACTAAACCAAGGAACTGCTCCAGGGATCCCAAGGATGTCCCCACACTTCACCAGGATCACTTGAAATTAAATTTAACTCGCTCCTTTCCCCCCTCCACTCTCCAAACCCCCTCCAGCAGGTGCAGTCAGTGTTTTTACAGGTTTTTTACAGGTTTTTACAGGTGATACTTACTGGATAAATTCCTTTTAATCGTGCCCTGGAAGGAGAAACACAGGGATAAGTGGCTGGGCAGGGCAGCTGTCACCCCAGGAGCAGAGGTGGCAGGAGGGGACATTTCCTGGAGGTGGCTGAACCCCAGGGAACAGAAAACCCTACCTGGAAAAAAATCCTACCTGGAAAAAAAAACCCGACTGAAAAATAACCTACCTGATAAAACCCCTACCTGGAAATAAAACCCACCTGGAAATAAAACCCTACCTGGAAAAAAATAAAACCCTACCTGAAAGAAAAAAAAAAAAGCCCTACATGAAAAAAAATAAAACCCTACCTGAAAAAAAAAATCCCACTGGAAAATCCCTACTGAGAAAAACCCTACTAAAAAAAAAA